CACCACATAAGCAGAAAAAGCTGGAAGTGGTGCTGTGGCTAAAGTGGTAGAGCACTACCCTTGAGCTGAAGAGCTGAGGGACAGTGCCCAGGCCCAGAGTTCAGGCACCATGACTGGCAAAACAAAAACAAAAACAAGAAGCATTATACTCATAACCTGACTTATAGAATTGTAACTTCTTTGTCCAACTACTTAGTAATTTAAAAAATTTTTAAAACTAAAATCACAAAATACAAGATAGTCATATATAAGCAAATTATAAATTTCTAGAAAAAATATATCCATCTCCTTTCCAAATCAGCAATGCTGAAAAGTCAATTAGGACTTAAAATAACTTTAAATTCTGACATATAAGAAACATAACAGACATACTACATAAATATCATCACCTACTTTGGAAATAAAATACTTAATTTTCTTTAGCATCTGGTGTTTTTGTTTTGCTGAGAATAAGATGTCAAAATTTTAGAAGAAAGCAAACTATCATTTCATATATTTAAATATGGTGAATTGTTAAATGAGTTCTCTATTGCCCTTTGAAGCTGCCAGGAAAAAAAAAAAAAAAGAATAGATTATCTGTGCTCAAATAATCATCCCATCCATCCATCCATCCATCAATGAGTAGAATCCCCAGAGGAAGGAACTGTACTATAAATAATATCAAATTGTACTTCTGGAAGAAAATCAAGCACATGGTGCTTCAAAAATTACCTATTCTCCTTACTATCCTCCAAAATCCTAATTTAAAAAATAATCTGCAGATTTCCTAATAAAGAAACTTGCCTAGGTAATTGAAACTAATGGTTTTCAGCACCGTTGGGAGTAGGGGGCTTAAATCACATGTGCAGGATCCTAGGTTAAAAACTTGGGTTCAAATGTAAGCATTATCCTGCCCATGTAATTGTAACCCCTCTGTACAGTATGTTCACACACAAAAAAAAATTAAATTAAAATTTAAAAAAAAAAAAAACTTGGGTTCAAACCTCCACTCCCTCCCACCTGCCCCCACCAAAATCTGCCAGGGGTGGTGGTACACACATATAATTCTAACTACTGGAAAAGCTGAATAGAATTTCAGACTGGGAAAAGGGGAGAAAAGAAAAAAGGAAGGAGGAGACAGATGCAGGTTAAGAACCAGGGAGGCAGTAAAAACTTTCCCAATGTATCTCCAATCCTCTTTCATAATTCTTCTTCTGATTTACAAAAACCAGCTAAATCATTCATAATCAACCAAAGGCCAAGAAGTGATCAAATTATATACTTTTACATAAAAACCAATGCTTGAAAAAAATAAAAGCAAACAGTATTTACAACAAGCAGTATTCACCAAATAAATAATATTGTTGACCATTTAAAATACAGCATGTGATTAGTGCTAGCAATGAATATTATGGTAGATTAGATTGGTGCATAAAATGTCTCCACAGATGATGATGATTAATAACACAATTTTGGCAAGACTATAGTATATTATTTTTACCCCTCTTCAGCTAAGTAAACAAGAGGTTCTGGTAACAACTTATCTGGTAACCCAGCAGAAATGGAGAGCTGGGATTCTAATCTAGAGCTGTGTAATTCCAGAATCAAGCTGTGCACATCATCAATATACCTGATACTTTCACAAAAGCACACCAGAACAGAAAAAAAGCATGACTTAATTGTTTCACATAGCTTGAAATCAATGAACAAAAATTAACTTGAACTACTCAATTTCTTCTAGTGTCATTAGATAACATAAAACTTTTTTCCTAAGTGTACTACTACTAAGCTAATGAATTTGACACTGGAAAAGTCATTTTGTTATCCTAGGAAACACCTTTCACTCATCTTTTTTTTTTGTAAAGGTCTGAGATCAGGACTCAAATTCAGTACCTGACAATTTTGCTCACAGGCTAGTGCTCTATTAACATAGCTATGTCCATCCTTTGTTGATATTTATTTATTGCCAGTTCTAGGGCTTGAACTCAGGGCCTGAGCACTGTTCCTTAGCTTCTTTTTGCTCAAGGCTAGCACTCTACCATCTGAGCCACAGTTCCACTTACTGCTTTTTCTGTGTATACTGAGGAATTGAACCCAGAGTTTCATGCATGCTAGGCAAGCACTCTACCACTAAGTCACATTCCCAGCCCTGATTTTTATTTTATTTTATTTTATTATGTCTGAGATCTTTCTTAACATACAAAAGACAATGGCTCTTTGCTGAGAATGTAAACATAAAAAGCTTATATCCATTTTTTTACACACCCAATTTTTAAGGCATGAAATCTATCTGAAATTAATTTTTAGGATGTTCAAAATAGTACATGTGGGAAAGGAGGACTAAAATTTAGGACCTCTAGCTTGCTCTAACACCCTCTGGTCTCCTTCAGTCTTTTTTTAAAAATCACAATAATCCATTTAGTTCTGTACAGTTTTCAAAAGCCCTGATATGACAAAGGAGTCATTTGTTAAAACCCACAAAATGTACTGTACCTAGAGTAGAGCCTAGGGCAAACTACAGCCTTTGGGTAATAATGAAATGTTATTATGGGTGTCAACTGTAACAGACTTCTGGTGAGGAACTTCCACAGTGAGGAAGGCTATGCTTCTGTGGGGACTCAGATATATACAAAATTACTGTACTTTCTGATCAACTTTGTTGTAAACTTACAATTTTTCAAAGGGGGTGGGGCCAAACTTTATCTACTCCACTTTCTTAAGAGAAAACGTTGTTGTTGTTGTTGTTGTTTTCAGGATCAAACTGCTTTTTTTTCAGTTTGTCATTTCATTTTTTTTTATTGTGAACATACTGTACAGAGGGGTTACAATTACATGGGCAAGATAATGAGTAGTTGTTGTTGTTTTTAAAGCACTCTTCACTTCAGGTGAAGGTGGCTCACACCTGTAATCCCAGCTACTCGGGAGTCTGAGATGTGAGGAGTAAGGTTCACAGCCAGCCTGGGGAGGAAAGTCTGTGAGACTAATATCTCCATTTAACCACAAAAATCTAGAAGTGGAATTATGACTCAAGTAGTAAAGCCTCTAGCCTTGAGCAAAAAAGCTCAGACACTGAGTTCAAGCCGCAGGACTGGCACAAGAAAAAAAAATTACTCTTCACTATGGAATGAATTTAATCAAAATACATTGTATCTACATCATTGGAATTATCACAATGAAACTATCTGTACAATTAATGTACTCTAATAAAGCAAGAGGAAAAGTAAAATTACTCTGTGAATCAAGTGTCCTGTTAAGATAGAGAATTATATATAGAGGTATATATAAAATGGAATATATTATCTTTTTTTTTTTTGGGTCCGGTCGTGGGGCCTGAACTCTGGGCCTGGGCGCTGTCCCTCAGCTCTTCAGCTCAAGGCTAGCGCTCTACCACTTGAGCCACAGCGCCGCTTCCGGCTTTTTTCTTTTTGCTTATGTGGTGCTGAGGAATCGAACCCAGGGCCTTGAGCATGCAAGGCAAGCGCTCTACCACTGAGCCACCTTCCCAGCCCAGAATATATTATCTTAAAAACAGTGGTATTAGGGTTTGAAATCAGGGTCTTCTGTTTGAATTAGTGGCTTTAAATATAAAAAGGAGGGTTGAGGATGTAGCTTAGTGGTAGGGCACTTACCTAGCATGCAGGAAACCTTGGTTTTGATCCCCCAAACTGCTTGCATGCACACAAGAGAAAAAAAAAAATGATGATGAAGCTGAGTATACAATAAGAGCATTTCTAGACATTTTAGGCTTATACTATTTGGTATCCAAAAGGCAATGTATAAAAGGGACTCCAAGTTTTAAGTGGGTCAGTCATTTTGACAGACAAATGAACAAAGGTGCCAGAGAGCAACGGAAGGAAAAGCAACAGCCAATGTTAAAACATCTAAGACGCTTTCCAGGTGCCAGCACTATTTAACAGCGGTTCTTTGCTTAAAGTACCCATCCTCTAGTGCCAAGACAGCAAGGGAGATGGAGAAAGAAAGAGGATTTCCTGGTAGAAAGATCCTGAGCCTCAAGGGTCGGCCCATTGTCAAGATATGTAAGAAAAAAAAAAACAACGCAAATGGGAGAAAAGTGCACCAGGCAGAGAAAATACGCGTGCCATCGCAGGTTCTAAGACCTGTTCCCATCTTCCCAAATCAGTAATATTAAGCTATAACACACACACACACACACACACACACAAAAGTATGTAATTAAACAGATTTAAAGGAAGACTGAAACAAGTGTGTGTGCTTGTGTGTGTTTAATCACGAAGTCCGTGCGCCCCAACACTAGGTCTTGCACATCATTCTTAAAAGACCAGGCATGGGTTAGAAAACACAAAGGTGCTGACAAATCGGGGTGGGGTGGGGGGCTCCCCGAGGAAGCGGACTCGGCCAGCTCGCACCCCGTGGGCGGGGGGAGAGTAAGGACCTGTCATCCGCACCGGGTGAAACGACTCCAGGAGCTTGCTGGGGGGGGGGAAGAGGCTGCAGTCCGGCGCGTCAGCCGGAGGCACTGGCTCGGTGCTCCGGGGCTGCACCCTGCCCTGGCGCACCCCGCCAGACTCCCACCGGCCCGCAGGTCGCCCCCCGCCCAGGCCCCACGCCGCGACGCCGGGACTAGAGATCCCGGGGTGGGGAGGGTGCGGCCGGACCCCGGGCGCGCGGCCAGTCCCCGACCCGCAGGCCGCTTAGTCCCCGGGGCGACGGGCCGCCCTCTCCGGCCTCGAACCCTCCGACCTCGGCGCGCTGGCTGCCGCTCGGACCCCGCCAAGCACCTGCTCGTCCTGGGGAGCCCCGGGGCCGCCCGCGAGCCGTTTCCCCCTCGAGGAACCGACCCCGATCCCCGGCCGGCCGGGCCGACAGGAGCCGCCCGGGGACAGTGGGAGGCCCACGGGGCGGCCCGGGCCCCGGGTCCTCCGAGCCGTGGAGTCCGGGGGTCCGCACGACGTCCGACCTGCGGGGCAGAGGGTGGGTCAGCGCGAGCCGACCGCAGCGCACAAAGGAAGAGAGGCGGGAGGCCGGCGAGCGTCGGTTACCTCGGCCGGTCGTTCGTCCCTCCTCGGGCTTTTCCTCGGTGTCACCAAGGCTCCCGAGCGCCAGCGCCACTCCGCCGCCACCAGCGGTGCTCCCCGAGCCTCACTCCGACGACACCCGGCGGTCGCGCGAGCTCCTGCGCGCGTCTCCGTCAAGCCGTCCGGCGTCCTCTCACGCCCGCCCCTCACAGCCCAGGTCTCGGACGCCGGGTGGGAGAGGAGCGCGCGCACGGGCTGCGCACGGTACTCTGGGAAGTGTAGTTTTCTATTCTCCCTCCAGGAGTCCGCCTCCGCCCGCGCTGGTCCCGCGTGGGCGGCCGCAGTCTCCCGGGACCGCGCTGAAGCCGACCAGCGTCAAGCCGACGTCCCCTGATGTTTAGATGGGACTCTGCATTGGTAACCAGGATAGTGATCCCGCGCTTCACTTCTGTGGCATAACGAAATTTATTCTTCTGTACATCCACGCCTCTCTCGTGCGTGTTCTCTGTGGTCTCGGGCTTTGTCTTAAAACAAAACCAAAAAAATCACTGTTTCTATTCCTTGCTCACTTGCACCACGTGCAAAGGATATACAAAGCAGCTTGTGTTTGTAAATACATACCCACTGTTTATAAACCAACGGAAGCAATTGGACTAAATTCATGCTGCTAAAACTCATTAGGAGTAAAAATGATGTTGAAATCAACCACTTTTCCAGTAGAGTCAATAGAATGGAATAGGAGGGGGAGGGATTGAGACAGTAAACACACACACACACACACACACACTTTTAGAAGGCTATTCCCTTAAAGTGCCTAAGCAAAGAAACAATTTTTAGAAGAGAATACCCTTAAAAGTACCTTTTACCTCAGCAACTTCAAGCAAGCCTAAAAATTCTATTACCTGAAAATTCGAATCCTAGTTTGCATATTAGGATGTACACCTGCAGGTCCAGCTACTCAGGAGGGTGAGGTTTAAACAATATAGGGAAACAATGCCTCAAAGTTAAAAAATAAATACGGGGAAGGGGCAATAATATAGCTCGGTGGTGGTGTACTTGTCTAGCATGCAAAAGGCCCTGAGTTCGATCTCCAGCAACACACTCAGCCATATAGTCAATCCTGAAACATTTATAAATATTAACACATAAATTTGTACTGACTTTTAAAGAAATATATATACATATATATGCTGCATCTTATGTAAAACCTACAAGAAAACTATTTTTCACATGATCATGTGAAACTTCATTTCTAGAAAAAAAATAGGGCTTTCATTTTTACATAGGAAAAATATTTTTGGGAGATCTTCTTTATATAGTGCAAGTACCTCAAATTCTAGAACCTTCTGCCTCAGCATACTGAGTGCTGGGATTACAGATATACTTTACCATGACCAGCATAAATAATTCTTAATATATCTAAATATTCTCCAGAGCTGGGCACCAGTGGCTCAAATCTATAATCCTAGCTACTCAAGAGGCTGAGATCTGAGGATCACAGTTCAAAGCCAGCCTGGGCAGGAAAGTCACTTAAGACTCCTATGTCCAATTAGCCACCAGAAAACCAGAAGTGGTGCTGTGGCTCAAGCGGTAGAGCGCTCACCTTGAACTGCAGAGTCATGGACAGTGCCCAGGCCCAGAGTTCAACCAAAAAAAAAAATTCTCAAGAGCATTAGCAATCTGCAAATTAAATGTAAATGTCCTTAGAAAATAGAGCCAGATCTGTTTTAAAACTGTATACTAAAGAACAGCAAATTTTGTTTAGAATGTGATACAATACTATGTTTAGTAACACCCTATTTAGTAGAAATTTTGCTCTGAGTTCAGTATCCAGCATCCAAAAACAAAAAACAAACAGGCAAGCCAGAGAAGTAGAGTTACAAAGTAGTGGTTATTTAGGTGTACCTGGGAAGCCAGGGGTACTCGTAACATTCAAGATGCAGCTTATATAGAGTCTTCTTTTGGGTAGGGATGTCAGATTAAAAAAAAAATCTGAAAATTCACTGAGTGGTTTACACTGTAATATTATCTACTGAGAAGGCTGAGATCTGGGGATTACAGCTCAAAGCCAGCCCTAGCAGAAAAAGTCCATGAGACTCTTATCTCCATTTAACCACTAAGAAAAAAAAAAAAATCTGAAAATTAAATGATCACACTTCATTGCCATAAACTAGGGGAAGCCCTTCTTTAATATCTGTAACAGTGCTTTCATCTAATTATTTTAAGTATATACTGAAACTAAAAACAAATTTTCTAGCTCTGACCAAGACTACTTTTGTAGCTTTTATTCTTCCTTTCCTACTTTCATTGGAGGATACAGACTAGAGTAGGAAAGGATTTGAGAGACTCTCCCTTCTTCTCCAGAGTCTCACAAATTTAAAATTGGAGAAGACATATGATATACTATCAACTGTACTTTAGTTACAATAAATTGCAATGTTTAAAACCCAGAACCAACCTTTATCACATTAAGCCTTTTTCTCTAATCCCAGAATAAAAGGTTTTATAACCTCAAAACCATTTTATATACTGACTTCAAATGGATTTAGAAAGATTAATCAAGAGGACAAATTTATCTCCATTTGTTATAACAGCAGAGCTTGCTGGAAGAGGGTAAATTCCAGAAGAGCTATTGAGTATTTTTGTCTCAGAAACTGAACTTCAAAATTCTAAACCCGGGGCTGGGAAGGTAGCTCAGTGGTAGAGCACTTGCCTTGCAAGCATGAGGCCCTGGGTTCGATTCCTCAGCACCACATAAGCAAAAATAAAAAAAAAAAAAGCCAGAAGTGGCGCTGTGGCTCAAGTGGTAGAGTGCTAGCCTTGAGCTGAAGAGCTGAGGGACAGCGCCCAGGCCCAGAGTTCAGGCCCCACGACTGGACCCCCCCAAAAAAAAAATTCTAAACCCTATCAACAAAGCCATTACCTCCCTCTCCAGCGGGAGTCACTGTCTCACAAACTTTCATCCAACCCCAGACTCCATTAAAGTGTCCAATGTGTGTTTCTACCAAGGACAGGATAGTAAATATTGTCGTTTCAGGCCTTACAATATTGTCACAGCCACATATCTCTAAAGGACAATAGCTAGTTCTCATTTGTGGCTCTGAAATATCTGAATAACAAATTTTTGTTTCAAAAATTTTAGTGAAAGGAATGAGGGGACAGCTGCAGCTAGATATTATTTGAAATGATATATTTACATAGCACACACACACACTGTTCTGGTTTTCTCTAAGTGTTTATTCTGAGGAGTTTAGGGGTGGGTGTGTAGGTGGAGCTAAAAGAGAAGAAAAATTTTGGCATAGCTACTGCTGCTTCAGTGTGTGCTCTTCAAAGCACACACTGAAAGTTGCTCTTGAAAGTTGGTAAGATTTTTTTTGACCTTGTTATGAATCTGCCCTTTGTTTTGTTTTGTTTTTAGCATTTCACTTTTGCTACTCCATCATGCCCAAGTCAAATCACTTCCATTTCCCATAAGCCTGCCGAAATGTGTTTGAATTCTCAAGTTGAATATGGGAAACTGAATTTCTCTTTAGAAAAGTATGTGATGTGTCAAGGAAAGGACAAGAAAAGGGTTATAGCTTAGCATATCCAAGGTCATGGTTCTGATCTCCAAGTTGAGAAGAAGAGAAATAAAAAGTAAAAGAAGAAAATGTTTCCCCCAATAACTATTTTGGAAATAAATCCAAGTATACTTCTAAGCAAATTATTTGCACATATATGGTTAGAACTGATACAGTAAAGCAAATATAACTATATTTAAATTCTAATATGTATTTAAAATGTGAGATCTTCATGAATAGTACTTATTTCACTAAGATATAGCTCTGTATTACATTAGCTTCCAGAAACATCTTCATAATGGATTTTTGTTTTATTAGACAGGGGCTTGCTATATACTCCACACTGGCCTCAAATTCATGATATTCTTATATCAATCTCCCAAATGCTGGGATTACAAGTGTGTACCATGCATAGCTTCATAATGAAACTTATCTCTGAAGGAATTTTTTGTTTGTTTGGTGGTTTTATTTGTTTGTGCTAGTCCTGGGTCTTGAACCCAGAAAGTTTTTTTGTTCAAGTATAGAGCTACAGTTGCATAACTGCCTTTTTTGGTGGTTAATTGAAGATAAGAGTTTCACAGACTTTCCTGCCCAAGCTGACTTTGAACCGTAATCTTAAAATCTCAGCATCCTGGGTGGCTAGCTTGGATTATAGGCATGAGCCATTGGCACCTGGCTGAAAAGAAAAAAAAATTTAAACTAAAATAAATGTGATGTAGAAGAGCTTATTAGCTGCTTAATTGGCATCTTTGCACCACTTCATTAGTGAAATAACTTCAGTATTTTTGTAGAGATGACTATGTCTCTAGCAAAAAAAAATTATTTTTCAGCTTCTCTTAAACTTAGTTTAAGTTCTAGCTGTGAGATAAGTGTTACATAGGACTTTGTTGATGGGGTTAACTATCTTATCTTTTTCTTCCTGGAAGTGATGGCTTCTGTTTAAAATTATCTGAAGATGGAAATCATACATAGAATGATGGAAGATTAATAAAAGGATAGTGAGTCTCTGATGATTATTGTACCATTCTTTCATCCCTAAATTACCATACAATTAAAACTAACTCTTATTTTGTTTAAGCCATTATGTTTAGAGAATTTTTTCTTTGTTGGTTTGCTTTATACAGTCAGGCCTACCTCTGACTTAACAGCATACAGAGAGGTACATGTATAATATATCTAGTATGAAGTTACAATAAATTACACAACCCTCTATTTTCTGCCAGGTGATTGAAGCCTGACTTTCTGACACCTGGAATGTGGATGGGGCTAAATATTGAATTTAATCCTATGATCAATGATTTAATCATGTTTGCATAATGAAATTCCAATGAAACTTTCAGACAAGGACCCTTGTGTTTAACAATTTGTTAGGATAACTTACAAAAGTCAGAAAAAGTACTGTATTTTGTTTTTATTATATTATAAAGGGACTAAGTGAGGGTGGCTCATGCCTGTAATCCTAGCTACTCAGGAGGCTACGATCTGACTGAGGACTGTGGTTCAAACCTAGTCTGAACAAGAAAATTCATGAGACTCCTATCTTCAATTAACCAACGGAAAACCAAAAGTGGATGT